AAACTAGGAGTAGTTAAGATTTTCACTCGCAGAGCGAAGGAAGTTATTCAAGATAACACAGATTTGGAGAATGAACAAGGTCATATCAAACAAGCATTAAGTAGGTGTGGTTATCCACTTTGGAGCATAGAACAAGCTATTAAGGAAAAACCTAGAGTAGTTGACCCAAATAGCAATGAGTCTGAGACTCCACCATTAAGTGTAACTCTGCCATATATACAAGGTACATCACAACGATTAGAGAGGGTGTTTAATAATGTAGGAGTGAAAACTTATTTTAAAGCTGCTAGAACGATCAAACAGGAGTTAGTCTCACCAAAGGATCAAAGCCCTAAGTCAAAAATCTCTGGACTTATTTACAAAATTAATTGTCAGGCCTGTGATAGCTTGTACATAGGTGAAACTAAGAGACCAATAGGGGTTAGGATAAAAGACATCACTGCATTAAGATAATGAAAACTGGAAACATTGTCTGCTTTTGCTGAACATTCATACGTCACAGGTCATAGGATCAATTGGAATGACTATAGTATAGTTGATAAGGAGAGTAAGGATTTCTATAGAAATGTTAAAAAAGCCATTCACATACATCTTGATAAGCCAATTTTTAACAGAGACTCAGGTTATCTCGTAGATAAAGCGCTACTTGAGACATAATCCAAGGTTAAGGTTAAGGTCAAGGACAGCTGTGGTGGCGGGAAATCAACAAACAGTACGTCACTGACGAAGGATGTAGTCACATCCGAAAAATATGAAAGAAAATAAGTTATTCAGGTTAGTTAGAGGAACCATATATTATTATTTTTTAAATTAACTGAATAACTCAGAGCGCAGATAATATTTGCGCTAAACGTTTGAAGTGGTAATCTTAAACATCGATCAGATTGTGTTTTATTGTAAGTACAAATCTATTTGTAACATGTGTTTCTGATGATTTTTAAATGAAAACCACGTAGGAATCAACTCTTATATTGTAACTCTCTGTTTATGATTTATATTCTATACAATGTGTCTAGAAACAAAATCTTCAAGGGTAATTCTTATCAATTTTTGACAATCATTTTTTCAGATTAGATGCATTTGATTACAGTTAAATGTTAGAGTATATACATCAAAAGCATCTATCGCTTCAATGATGTCAACGTGTGATTGCTCACTTATACTGATGGCGCCTCTGTTGAGGGTTACTTCAGAGCAAACATATCTGACAGATATTGCAGGAATTATTGCAATTCGCCTTGGAATGATTTTATATTTGAAAGGTAATTCATTACCGGCGACCTTTTCAAAATAAAGTCCAGTAATAACAGTAGCGTCACTCTGAAGTGTAACTCCCCAGCTGTCAGTTTGGTCTTCTGTCAATTGACGCACTCCCGATGTTATCTGTAATGTGTAATTGTCATCGTTCTCGTCATCAGTAAATGCAGCTACTATCATCCCGACTTCTGAATACACTTCTCATACTTGCCGACTACACAATATTCACACGAATAACAAGAGAAATCTCGCACTGTGACAATATTTGGTCCTACAACTCTCCACTGGTGGAATTTTCGTATTCCAACTACTGGTTTGAACCTTCCAAATTTGGTCTAATTTGTTGACTCAATGTATCTGAAAAGCCGTCTTGTACATTTGTATCCGTCTTTAGTATCTGCCATTGTTGTCGCAGCATGTTCGTAAAATGATTTTGAATCCTGGATAATAACTTTGTTCATAAGAATATCCATATCCGTCTTGTTTTTAATGTACCCTCCAGCTTCATCCTGTGGCCCTTTGGCATGTGCTGTTCCAAAGAAATTACGGACAAACTGCTTGTATCCAATCCTATTTGGAATTGAACTGGCATTACCCATACAGTGCCTACTTTTGTATTGGCAACTGCAGCCATCCGTGAATTCATGCATAGTTGTTGATGGTAAATCAACTCCTTTTTCATTCAAACAGTCTCCGATCATCTCCTGCACTGTAGACACGAATGCATGATCATGGCTCATATGTTCTGGTGCAATTACAAAGAAATGTTCAGTAACGAGATGGTAATCTACACTTTCATTAGGAAGGGGATGACGGTTAATAATAGATACATGTATCGCAACCTCTGTTGCGCCAAAGTACGTATCCTGGATTTGTTTCCTCTCAATACATTTATAATTTTCGGAAAAGTCATGAATTGTAATAATATGGTTATCTGGCAAGTTATCTTTCAGACCTTTGCATTGATCCTGCTGCCAATTCGCGGTGAACGTGTGGGAAGGAAATGTTGCTAGTATATCTCTTATATGTTGGAAAAGTTCACCAGGCTTGGCAATCTTTTCAACTAATTTCAATTTCCGAATAACTTTTTTCTCCCTTCCAATTATGTTCTGGTATTCGTACTTGTTGAATTTGACGTCTGGGGTTGATTCTTGTACTTCTAGCTCCTTCTCGGACACTTTCAATAAATGTACCCCGCAGTTCGGACAATCTCGTTCAACGCATTGTCTTTGATGACTAGTGATCTTATTATCAGTTTTCGGAGTCGCACATAACGTGGCCTGGACCATCCCATGTAAGTTTTCAAAAACCGGGAACATAGCAAGCTGAGCATCGGAAAATGTTTTCTTCCAGAATGTCATTCACGCCTGAAACGCGCTTTTGGCCTCAACATGTCGCCTACACGCACACGTTTCTCTGTCCATTTGACGAGGCGAGCGGATGAAATAAGGCTTCATTTTTTCAAATGCCCTCTGTGAACATTTTACCTCTGGGTGTTTCTCTTTAAACATCAAGTATGCTTCTGTTTGCGTCATTTAAAACATGTGTCGCATGTGTTTAACGTACATCTGTAGATATTTTGTTCCAAGCGTTTTCGAATAAAATCTCTTTTATTGCCAGTGGGTCGGGACACCTGAGGATCTGTCCAGAATTCATATGCCGTTTTATGGAAATAAGCAGTTTTCACCAATACCATAGCTTGTTTTTTCACATCAAGATAAAGAAATATGTAAGGAATATGTTTACATCGATTAAAACATCACGACGACGTGCTATGTTCGAAAATTAACTGTAGGAATTTGCGCAAACTAAGGTGGTACGCAGGAAATGTATTATGTCAGTCATCGCTAAAGCTCTTGGGCTTTCCCTCCTCTTTCAATGGGTGATCCATGCAAAGAATTGATTTGAAAGGGAACATATGAAACTATCCCATGGTACCGAAAATCCTAGTTTTTTCATAATCAATCCAAAGATTTCAATATTTTCCCATTGGATTACATTAGAGCATTTGTCTGTGGAATTGTCCCTGTACATGCAGAAGCACTTAGTTAAGATTCTGTTTACTTTATCGGGAGATCACGTGCACGCGACCTTACACTTACATTCGTTTAGATTGCATATCGCAACATACCTTAGTTGATTCCATAGTTAGCATGATATTCATAGGATAACATGTGAAAATAAAAATGGTATTTTTGTAATCAGTGGTAAAATATGATATTTTTGACAAATTTTCACTTAACCATAGCATACGGTTTTTTTGCCATGACATACGGCGCCGTATGCGATGGTTTATGGATTTTTGCTACTTCAGACTCAAAACGAGGCTAAGTGTCAACATCACCGGATCGTTTGGAAAAATTCGAATTAAATCACTTAATTTCCGACGATTCCGACTGACTTTAACTATGGAATAAAAAGAACATCCTATGATTTACTCGTGATATGATTTTAATCCACTCATGTATATTAATATCTGCACTCTCTCGCTACGCTCGCTCCTGCAGATACCATATCCACGTGGATAAAAATCACTCATAAATCATAGGATATCCTCTATTTATTCCATAGTTAGCATGATATTCATAGGATAACATGTGAAAATAAAAACGGTATTTTTGTAATATATATATATATCTTTTATCGACTCTTTAGATGTCATATCATGACATATTAGTCACTTAGGTAGAGCAGTTCTTCCCATTGTCGAGTTGAAGAACTGGTATCTTTATCCTGGCTAGAACCATAGACAATTCTAGCCAGCGCCAGCCTTTTATCGAGTTAGCAGCACTCTAGTAATCGCCAGCAGTCATAGGTCAAAGACAAATCACAAGAAGTGCTGTGACCTGGGTTTGAACCCAAGACCTCTACTTTTCAGCTTGAAGCCAGACTTCCTGCTTTTCAGACCAATGCCTTAACCACTAGGCCAACCCGGCAATGTAATCAGTGGTAAAATATGATATTTTTGACAAATTTTCACTTAACCATAGCATACGGTTTTTTAGCCATGACATACGGCGCCGTATGCGATGGTTTATGGATTTTTGCTACTTCAGACTCAAGACGAGGCTAAGTGTCAACATTACCGGATCGTTTGGAAAATTCGAATTAAGGTCAGGGTGCATGATGGGAAATTTTCTGCATTCCTCAATTGAGTCACATGTTATTTTTCAAACAAGAATCACTCCTTCCCCACATTGTCTATATCTTCCAGTTTTGCACAAAGAGTGCACGTATGTGCCTAGAAAAGACTTGTGAGAAGAATGTTTTGATAGAGCGTATAAAAAACAAGAAAATTCAGTGAAAAAAATCAGAAAATTTTCAGAATTTTTTTCATTGAATTTTCCCATTTTTTATACATTTTACAAAACAAACCTTCTCACAAGGCTTTTCTAGGCACCTAAGTGCACTCTTTGTGCAAACTTGGAAGATGTAGACAATGTGGGGAAGAAGTTATTCTTGTTTGAAAAATAACATGTGACTCAATTGAGGAATGCAGAAAATTTCCCAACATGCACCCTGTCCTAAATCACTTAATTTCCGACGACTCTCTCGCTACGCTCGCTCGTGCAGATATCATGGCATTCGTGGATAAAAATCATATCACTCATAAATCATAGGATATCCTCTATTTATACGTCACACATTCTGATAAATAAGGTTGATTAATGAATAGTCCGTGGGTAAAAGTCCAAAGACTTTATAACTTGAAAATATAGTAACCACAGCCAGGTCATTAGCTGTTATTTATCCTTGTACATAATATAAGAGGTCATACGTTTCGGGAGTCCAACTTCTATCATTTTTGCCTCGAGGTTTCTTTGACCAACTAATTTACGAATGTTGTCCCGAGTAACTTGTTGCAGAGAAGGGAATTCTCCCATTTTCATTTCTAGGAAACTCTTAATTCTAGCCCAGTGTCTAACATTTTCATGAGATTCTTTGGGGTTGTTAAGAATTTTAGCAATTATTGGCTGTGGATGAGACCAGATAGAAAGCAAGAATTCAACACATTGGACATTTTCGGAGAATACAGCCACTTCAAATATTGAGAATTGTTTGTTACATCTTGTATGAATATCACAACCATTTTCAACCAGAAGCTTCAGACATTTCAGATGACCACGTGCTGCTGCAATATACAGGGGTGTTTTGCCTTGGTGATCAACTTGATCTAGATCAATTGTAGTATCACGAATAAGATAGTTTAAAACCTGCTGGCTGTTGTGCATGACCGTCTCGTGAACTATGCTAGTCTTTGAGTTATTGTTACATTCTATATCCACCCCATGATGGATGAATAGCTTTAATATGTTTACATCATCTTGTTCCACGGCACTGAGAATCGCCTCTCCTTTGTACCAACTTCGAGGGACATTAGAACCTCTCAATAAAAGGAGTTCAACAAGATCACACCTTCCTTTATGCGTTGCTAAGATTAGGCAAGTTTCGCCCATGAAGTTCATAATTCTATTAATATCGCATCCGAGGTTAATCAACGCGTCTACGATTGCTACAGAACAGCCCCGGGTAATTGCTACATACATAGGGGAGTACAATACGTCTTTTACTTCAACTGCAGCTTCGGACAGCAATTTACAAAGCTTCTCATCATTTTTCTCAAGTGCAATTCTCAATGGGGTTGACAGATCCTTATCTCCTTTGTTAACATCGCAATTGTGTCCAATTAGCGTTTTGATAATTTTGAGTGAAGCATCGTCTTCCTCATGTATTTGCCTGTTATTACAAGCAATGGATAGAGCAGTGCGACCTTCGGATGTAAGGAGGTCCACATTTATGTTGTCAGATTGGAGGAGAACTTCAACAACCTCCGGCTGTAGGGTCATAACAGCATCATGTAGTGCAGAAACTTTCAGAAATGGATTAGATGCAGATACAGGGCAATATAAAGTGTTCACAATGCAGCCGTGCTCGACCAGGTGTTTAATGATAGTAACTGTGTCGGTATAAGTAGCATCCTTTGTGTTTTGGGTGTTCCATATATTCCCTTTGAAATGTTCTAAATTGATTGTATAATTAATTTCCTCCTGATCCTTCATATATTCGTTAGCATCGGCCGTGTAATGCATTGTTCTGGAAATATCTGGCTGACAATTCGCAAGAGTACAAATTGTCCTATCTTTACAAGCTGAGGCCATTGATAAAGCAATCTGTATTGGAATCATTTGATTATTATCGATCATATTCGGACTAGCTCCATTCTCTAGTAGGACCTTCATGATTGCTGGGTACTGTAGTTTGATGGCATAGTTTAGAGGGCTCTGATCCGAGGCGCACCAGTGGTTTGGGTTTATCCCTCCAAACTTGATCGCTTGTCTCAACGATGCTGTGTCGTTCCTCTCAATATATGAGAATAAAACCGTTGGTGTTGACATATCGCTTGTGATTACTTCATTTGTCTTCAACATAAATGAACAACTTCAAATTCTCAGGTATACAAGTCCAAATAAGAGTACATTATGTATTATTTACTAAGAATTGTATTTATATAACTGACCCAGAGCATGGCCTTGGATCTCTATCCCCTGGTCACCGAGAGGTTATGAACTATCTGTACGTATTGCTATACGTCAATGAACTCTATAGCTATCTTTATAGGACTCCTAAAGAGATATACTGGACTACATACTTGCACCCTTACATATATGTTACTGTACATATTGTAGAATTAGCCCATAAGAGCTTTGCAAAATCAACATCTTATACTATCAACGTAATAGACGGCTTGTCCAACCTTACAGGCAAACTATTATAGACAAATTTGAAGATAAGACTGATATTGTCACATTGAATTATGATAATAAGTAAACACCATTTTTGTAATATTTTTCACCGGTATAACCATGCCCAGTAGAATAATACACAGGGTTACCCTAAATTGTAGAAACATGAATATGTTTCTTATAAGTAATTCATTCATATATCCCAAGGATTTCACCCCTTCCATTCCTGACCAAACCTTGTTTCATTTTTGATAATTTACAATAAAAGAAATTACTCTTTTTGACATCTTATTTTTATTTCCATATGTTATTGACGTGAGAACTCAAATGATCAATGGGAAAACAATGCTAAACTTGCACACTGAAATAGGTATTCCAACAGGCCTAGGAAAATATGACTAGAAAAAGATGCAACAGCTAAGCGCTACAGGTGGACAAACTATTCCCCCTGAAAAGTATTTTAAGGGTCAGATCACTAAATTCATGATTGCATTGAAAAGCTTTGAATGCTAATTTTCAAGAATGGATGTATTACCAAAGAAGAAAATATGAATATTTCGAATGATTCTTTAGTGTCAAGTTTTGATTCTAGTGACAGCATGTTACTGAATATCTCATCAAGTGACCTAAACTACAGCAGCTTAAATAAGCATACCGAAATATTATAATTCAGTATGATTCGGAGAAGGGGATAATACAGTTATAAGGGATTAGCAATTTATTTATTATCTTACAATTTAGCTAATTTATTGAATTTGAAGATCTACTGCTATATTGTTTAATATGCATTATAATATATCGATTTGATGGTAAGAACTAGTATGTGATATGATCGATTTTATCTTTTTGTCATCATTGCTAAGTACAATAATATAATACAATTACAATTAATGATAACTCACTCATTGTATTACTTATGCTTGATACACATGCTGGAAGATTTAATTTTAAAATAGGTAAACCATTACCAAAACTATGGTTACCCTGTAGTAGTGAAAGGCACATTAAATGATATCACCCCCTTCAATCTATTTTTACAGGTTTTTATGATTATTTCACATTTTTCTATATTTTGCGTAACCAGGACGGTGAATTTTCTTCAAACATTTCGTCTTACCAATATTTATTATATCTGTCAACTTCAAGAAAATCGCGCCGCAACGTTTGAAGATAATTCAAATTATGTCGTTTTTCCCATTGAGCTCCATTATAAAAATGGAATTTTCAAACTTAATATTTTAAAATTCTACGTGGTGAAAAGTTGAATAATGAGTAGTTATTTAAAGTTATGGTGTAAAAAATTCAAAACAAAAAGGAATAAAGAAAAAATGCCGCAGAGAAGTCTTAGCATCGTTTTGAGTCTGAAGTAGCAAAAATCCATAATTCATAGCATAAGCGACGTATGTCATGGCTTTAACACCGTATGCTATGGTTAAGTGAAAATTTGTCAAAAATATCATATTTTACCACTGATTACAAAAATACCGTTTTTATTTTGACATGTTATCCGATGAATATCATGCTAACTATGGAATAAAACAAAATATGTATTCAACCATATCAAATTCACTTCCTTCGCGGTCATAAAAAATACATCCTAAGTCGGATACCCCTTGGGAGGCCCTCAGTATCTACGGGCTAGGCGGATCATGTCAGTAACGCGTGCTCAGGATATGAGCGTTTTGAATGCTATGTATTTAACCTACTTGGCACACTGCTCAGTGCTGCGCTTAAAACTTATATAATATTGTATAATCTGTACAATAAGGTCATCTTAAGTGGGTACTGTACTTTGCAATCGTTCATAGTTCGTAGTTTAACTACTCCGTGTGCAGCAGTGGCGGATCCAGGAACCAACAAGGGGGGGGGCCCAAATTTGAGAATATCGAAATAACCTCCGCGCTTGCGCGGAAAAAAATTTTGGGCCCCTAAAACCGAAAAAGTGGGCCCAAATTTTGAAAATTTGAGGCCCATTTTCTTCCAAATTTGGCCTAAATTGAAAAAATAAGGCCTTAGAAGGCCCAATAATGATCAAAAGGCCCACTTTTTGGGGCCTTAAGGCCTTTTTTGGCCTAAAATTTTTTTAGGCCCAACTTCTTTTTTTTTTGGGCCAACCTTAGGGGGGGGGGCCCGGGCCCCATGGGCCCCCCCCCCGGATCCGCCATAGTGCAGGGTATTAATTATCACTGGATGTTTCGAAATATTTTGTTGGGAGTTCAGTTGGAGAAAACTTGTTTTCATGATTTTTACCACAACCCCAGGTCACCAACAAAGAGGTTGATTTGTACCCTATCTAAATATTTTACCCATATGCTAAGGTCAATGTGTACTTTCAGCCATATTGAAGAAATCCTCAATACACGTCGCACGAAACTGGGGACAATAAAGGACGTGTAACATTCAGTATATGGCGCAAATAGACTTATCGTCAAAAACGACAAGCGTTACATTTTATTATCATTTAGTCAACCTAAAATAAAATGCTTTATCCTTATTCAATCCTGATAAAATTCACAGAGTACGAATATTTCGAGGACAATATTTCTAAAATGTTTTGATTTTTGAAAAACGGCCAGGAACTTTACTTGAAGCTTTAGTAAAAATTGATATGCATGGAATTCGAGGTAAAAAGTGGATGCGTTACATTTTTTCAAGTCTCGTAGGCCCAAATCAGCTCTTTTTTTAATAATATTTGTAAAATTTGTGAATAGGTTATTGTTTTGTACTTTTCGCAAGGACAATATTGTGCAATCATTTTTTTTAAAATTGTGATCGTTACGCAATTATGACGTCATGAATGCAAATAGTTAATTGAACAAAATGTGAAACTTTTGGCCTACAGGTGTTCTGATCATTATTTCAAAAGTTATCCCAATTTATACTAACAGCGCAGGGGTAAAGTCTTACGTCTTACAACGCTTGCCCGTAGCCAGCTTTTACCAGGAGGGGGAGCTTTTTTCCAGGAGGGGGGGGGAGCTTTTCCACAATTTTGGCTAAAAACCATGCGAAAAATTCTCAGAATGGTGAAAAACTGCATGATTTTGAAAGAATTCCGGGCCGGGCCAGCACCCCCTCTGGCTACGGTCCTGCAAGGTATGTAGTATATTGCGATGTCGGGATATTTTGGGTTTGTAGAAAAAAACGGGTACCGGCCACTACCGGGTAGTAAATCTTCCATGCTGGGTTCAAATTTGGTACTCTGTACCCGGTCGAAAAAACCGGGTACCCCAAAAAACATATTAACTTAAATATCATTAGAAAGCCTCTGTCGTTTTCACCCAATTTTTTGACATGAATATAACGATTAATATTTGAAAAACATGACAAATCAATCTTACTCTATTTTCAATAGTTCGTATGTTGGTATACGTGAATTGTATTATTAGGAGGGGGTGCGGTGGTGCGATAAGGGGATTGCATTATTCCTGTTCTAGTCTACTGCAAAGAAACGTATTTACATACCCGTTTTTTGGGGGTACCCGGTTCTTTCGACAGGGTATCGGGTACCAAGTTTGAATCCAGCAGGGAGGATTTACTACCCAGTACCCGGTGGCTGTCAGTTGGAGGACATTGAAAACCAGGTTTTATTTCCTATATTTACAATGGGGAGATAGTTATAACTGGGGAGACTCTCAGATCTGTCACATCAATTATAGATTACAATGTCCCCCGTTGATAGGATTTAATACTATAGTAGTTGATAGGATCAAAGTCATAGTGTAGTCGAAATCGATTATCGGCATCTCTCCCACTTTGCCGTAATGGTATAAGCGTTGGCCAATGTGTATTTATTAATTGTGATTTGTATTTATTAGGTTCCAGGTTCGAATCCTGCTTTGGTGTAAATATGTTAACCGTCTACACTGTTTGTATTGTATTGCATGCTATATTGTCTCAATAGATTGTAGTTTTCCATATTGTAGCCTATTATTATCGTTGCCCATTTTTTCATTTTCAAAGGATACAACCTTATTAGTTTTATAGATATTCTTTAGTTTTTTTCTTTATCCATCCTTCCTTACCCCTTTTCTTCTGCTTCTAGCTAGGTCTGAGTTAACCTTTACATGCTTCTACTAAGGACCTGAGCTGCACTCGGCAGGAAAGGACTTTTTATCTAGGTCAAGTTCAAAGGTCAAAATCGAGGTCAAATCAGAGTTTTTTAAGTTCCTCAGATTTCGTCCTCATACTTCATTATTTCTTGCGATGAATTAAAATCTAACTAGATATAAGCATTCCCTACAAATTGCCTACTACATTTGTATATGTTTGCCATAATTTTTTTTACCGTTTTTGAGATAATTGACGGTAAAAATTGGTCCTTTTTCAACTTGCTTCAAATTCAAATTAAACCACAAACTGTGTTTTCTAAGTTTCTCAAAGTTGATGATTACAAATCAATATTTTTTGATGAAAGTCAGAATATATATTCCACTAAAGGTTCTACACATATTAACAATTTGAGCAATTTCTAACTTAAGAATTTCCGATTTTGTGATATTAAACCACAGCTCGCATCCGTAAAGAGCAGTGGGAATACAAACGGTCTTAATTAGGTGTATGCCAGTTAAAAGGTCAAAAAGGGGTGAGACCCTTCGGATGCACACCAATTCCTGCTAGCGATGCGAAACTGCCTTTTAACTTATGACACGCGCTGAAGACTGCAGCAGTATTTTTCATCGAAGTTTGGCATAAGTTTCCGAGATGTTTACATTGATCAACCTCAACTAACACCTCGTTTTGAATAGACCACTCCCGTGTTTTCCGTAGTTTCTCATTTACAGGTTTCGACTCGCCAAATGTTATGACGCTTGATTTTGAAACATTTATCT